GATGACTGAGAATAACTTATTTTTAGAAAGACAACGTGACATGGCAGCATATGTCCGGTATGATAAATTTTTCAACGAACCTACTCTAGCGATTTCAGATATCGGCTATGTTAGTTGAAGTCCTTCCTTGTTTTATCCGAATTGTGCATCAAATATATTTGAAACCAGAGAGATGACAAGAGTTGTATGTTTACATATAGGACTAGCTCTCAAAGTATCTTAGGAGAGTCACCATCTCTCAGATCGTCGGGACTAGGTCATTTATGTACAAATCCCGGGAATGTGTTGCTGGACTGCACAAAGACCGATAGTACTCGAGATGATCTCTTCTCCAATGAAGGTGGAAGAAAGTGAAACAAACAGATAGTTGCGTCGAAAGCATAGACCAACGACATACTTTCTCACATTAGAAAACCGATCAACAGTGGCACATGTCAACTTAAAGGGAGCTGACAAGCGGGTACAATAGGTTTTCAATTTACGTATGGGATCAAGGACGATCGACAATCCACACTTCATGTAGGAGTAGTCTCATTGTTGTTTTCCTCACTTGAAAGGAGGACTAACATCTCTAACAATACTATATTATGCTGATTGAGTAGTCCTAGATGCAACGAAGATGCCGGAAGTCTTTGGAAGAATATCTTGAGGTCATCGATGGAGTCGTCAAATGATTCATACTCTTTCCTGCGATGTCCAGATCACTAATCACCTAATCATCTATCCTGCCATCTATACAACTGTTTTTGAGTCTGAGTACCTGCCTAAAGAAGGTGCATGCTGCCCCCAACCATAGTTGAAGGGAGAAGGCTTGCAATTACATCAGCGATTCTCAACAAGCTAACAACTTTGAGCTGAGTAACAGATGGAGTGCACAAAAGGCTTTATCACGGGACTTTCGAAGCTAAGGGGGAAGGTATGCGAGGATTTAGTCCCTCGGCAGTGTCTGAGAGTGTCGTGCCGCCCTAAGTGAAGGCGGGCCTGCAAATATGTGCCAATGCCTGTTTATAGGCCGATGAGACCAGGTGGAGGGGCCCAAGCAGAGCCTGTTGGAACCCCTATGTGGGCATGGCTCTTCGACGAGGCCTTGCTACGAGTTTGCTCCTCAGCATGCCCCTGCAGGGCCCTTTCAGCAAGCATGAGCCCGCCCTAAGTGAAGGCGGCCCCCTGAATTTCAACATGGCCTGAATTCGTCAATTTTGGCAAAGTTTGGTGGGCGCCGGACAGTTGCCATGCGCCAGTTGGTTACATCCTCCGTGAGCCTTCTAGGCTCTTCCAGCAGCACAGGCGAAGCAGGGAGAACCTCACGTTTACTCCTGGGTGGTTGGGCAGGCCCAACCAATTGGTCGCAGACCACTGTCTGAATGGGCCTAGGCACAGACACTTTGGCCCGATTGGAAGCTACTGGAAATACACGAGGCCCAGCCAGGCAGCAGACTGGGCGAGCACTTTCCATAAAGGAAAGAGCTCGCCACTGGTGGAGGCATTCGGGCACTAGGCAGTGCATGCGGCAGTGCTGCTTGAGCGTGCGCTCGCAGGCTGTGCGCTGTGCACTAGCGCTAGTTGCCAGGCAGTGCGCGCGGGCACTGGAAGAAGGCAGGGTGCTGCTGAGGGCAGCGCCATAGCCAGCCCTACATAGCCAGCACTTGGCTTGGACAGCCAGTGGAGGTGGTGGTGGTCTTCATGCATGAGGGAGAAGACGTGGGAGGAAGACAAGGATAGGGAGAGAGTGAAAGAGATGAGGATGATGATGTGAGGGCGCATACCTGGTATTGGCGATGGTCTGCATTGGTCAACATCTTCAAGTACTTCGGTGGCTGCTGACGTCAACAGTTGCATTGTCAATTCGTAGGCAGGAAGTAGCTGTGTAGGGAGTAGCCTGGGCGCCGAGCGCCAAGTAGGGAGAGAGGGCCTGGATACGTATGTTTGCAATAAATTGCAGTTTCCCAGTGGGGCTATACGCTAAGTGTTTGGCTTTGTAGTTCATTTTCTTGTTTTGAGCCTTGCAGGACTTGGATCCCGTGACCTGTAACTCTTGTGTTTTGTTTGTGAGTGCTGTGCCCTATGGGACTTGATCCCTGAGTCTGTCACTAGTAGTCTCTGTTTAGTAGCCTTAGGCCATTCGACCTTTTCCTTTTGCCTAGGTCTAGGTCCCCTTTTCCCCCTATTTCCATCTAGATGCAGATGAGTACTGGGTTGTTGCCTTTGGAGTCCGTCATAGGTCTAGGCAGAGGGTAGAAGTAGCTGGCAGGAAATTTGGTTTGGGTCTTTTCACGTTTTCGTTAGCTGGGGAAACTCTGCCCGTCCGTTGCGAGGTCATCTTCTTCCTCGAAGCCCAGCCATAGCTGGGGTTGGGAAACGAAGGTGAAGATTGCACTGCTGTTATTTCGCAGCTCTGCATGAGAGCTTCCACAGGACTGTGTTCTTGGGTTTGGGTGCTGCTGCCATCTTCCACTTGGCAGCCATATCTGCCGTTCCTCCTCTCGAGGAACTTTTGTCTTCTTCGGTTGTCTCCTTCTTCATCAGGACTTCCAGCGCTGCACTTCCGTGGGGGTGCTGAGCTGGTGCGGTTATCATTAGGGTTGCTGGTTCAGATTGGCACGTTGTGACAGCTGTGGGGTTACTGCTGCTACAGCAGACATAGCCAGGGGTATGAGGTGGCGAGGAGGAAGAAGAAGACTCCTGCATACTTCGTTCAAAACAGTTGTTTCTGGTTGTTCGGGGTTGTTGTAAACGCGGTTGTGATTCTTGGAACACGTACTCTGGATTGATTGGAGGAGGCCGGGGGATAACAGAATTGAAATTCGTTTTTCAATTCTATTTTGAGCTTCCGCTGTGCATATCTTCTCTCCGGTTTTGTGTGGATTTGCCTCCTTCGAGTCTACTCTGCAATTGCATGCGTGTATGGAACTTGTGAATTCGTTGTGGATTGAAGTTCAGTCGGGTACATAACATGTTGGTGGGGACGAGAGTAAGCTCTCATTGACATTCGGTTTCAGTGTTTCGATTCTCCATTGGTGTAATATTGGTGCAATGCTGCTTATCTGGACACTGCGGGTTTTTCTTGCTTTCAATGTGATTGTGCTATCTGGATTCTGTCATCTCGCTCTCTCTCATTTTCCTTGCACTTTATATGTATACCCGGTAAACTGTGGGCAGAGAGGGAGAAGAGGGCAACAAACGAGGGGCTGTGACAAACTGTTTCGTTGGAGTTTCACCGACTCATCAGGAGGCTGAACCCTATTGTGACGATATATATGTATAACATAACATATATATACTGTTGACCTGCCAAACTCAGTCAGAATCTTTCTACCTTTCTACAGTTCGTACTGTCTTGTCTTCTATGTTTTATTTGGCGCACGTTTGGTCTGCTGCCGCATCTTGTTCTGATGCTAGAAAGTTGTCGCAGGCAATCTCTTTTTTGAGGATTTGCCATAATAACGTCTTGGTCTATACTATAGGATCAAATCAGTTTAGTTATGTCGCCTTTCCATGGCCCGCCGACCTTCGGGGTTGCCTGCATCAGTTCATAAAGGAAACAAGTTCCCTTCAGACTTTAATCAGCTTCAAGTTTTAAGCTCTTTTTTTTTTTCCCAATAAAAAAATCCGGCTACCGGTACGTTTACCGGCCCTTTTTGTCCCACGCGGCCGTGAGCAGGCCGCATCCATGGGCCTTGGATTTCTGGAACGGATTGGCTGGCTGGTGGCGCCAGGCAAAGAAAACCAAAATGGAGAGCACCTGCCGCAGTGGAAATCCACTTCATTGGTGGTTTAACTTTTTCAAGTTATGCTGCTTCTTCCATTATTATGGAATCTCCTACTATTCTCCCTCAGAGTCTACTGTGCAGTGTGCACGTGCTATTTGTCTTCCCCCCACTGAAATCAATTTATTAATTGTGCACTCTTTTTTTCTATCTTGTCTTAATCTTGAACGTTCAACGTTGAAGTTTTTTTTTTTTTTAAGAAAAAAAAAGAAGGGCGACGGCCTTGAGATATCATCATTAAGATGACCAGACCCAGGTAATTCTGAAACAGTTGCTTTTACAACTTTTACTCATCAACTTCCATCATCTGGATTCAAACATGGGTCTGTATTTTCAACAGTCCATGGGTGTACCCACTGAGCTAGGCTCTTGGGTACACTTTAAAGTTTAAAGTTTAAACTTTAAACACTGTTGAAGTTTGAAGCTTAATGTTTGAAGTTTGAACCTCAGAACTTTGGAACTTCAAAATTTTGAATTTCATGAATTTTGAAGATTGAACTTAAGAAGTTCAGAACGTCGAAATTTTGAACTTTGAATTTTGAAATTTGAAGATCGAACTCCAGAGTTCGAACCTTTGAACTTTGAACTTTGAGTTTCGATCTTGTGAAATTTCCCCTCCTCCCTCCCTCTCCACCCCTCCTCCATCACTTCCTTCCTCCATTCCCTTGTTGTTACTCTCATTCTCCGATTTTTTTTTTTTTTTTTTTTTTTTTTTTTTTTTTTTTTTTTTTTTTTTTTTTTGTTGTTGTTGTTGTTGTTGTTGTTGTTGTTGTTGTTGTTGTTTGTTGTGCAGTGCCCCCCCCCCTTCTTTTCTGAGGGGTGACAGCTTGGTTGTTTTTCACCGGCAAGCTAGTCATACAATTTCAAACTATGCTTAGTTTTAGATATTCAGTAAATTAATCCAATTGATATTCAGTAAATTAATCCAATTGCATTCATGAATGACCGTTTATTTTTCAATCCTTTTTTCAAATACTTCAAGTTGAACGTCATCAGCAGAAGGGCAATGTAGCAGATTAGAAGAGTCCAGTTCATTTGCGTGGGGGATTCTGTAAGCCATTGACAGTCCTTTTTTTTTAATTTTAAAAAATGGCGATGGCCTTGAGATATCATCATCGAGCTGACCGGCCCCAGACAATTCAGATAATTCAGAAATATCTGGTTTTATTAATCTATAACCATCATCTGGATTCGAACTCTGGTCTGCATTTCAACAGTTCATGACAGTCCTACCTTCCTCCCATAAGTGAGGTGCAAGCTGGAAGAGTACTCCTTGACGATGTCCTTTACAATTTGTGCTAGATCCTCCCACTTCTGCATGGCGCATGCAACAGTACACCCAAACAGGAGGAGAGAAGTCAGACGGTCTAACAGCATGAGAGGAGTCGGGCATAACTCCCATAATAAAGACCACGAAAAATATGAAGATAAAATTCATAAAACACAATAAAGAATAGAGTGAAACTTTCCCACCCTTGGTGATTACTCGAGTTCTCGCCGCCGAACCGTACCAGATCATAGTCACCTGTCATACGGCTCTCCAACTCAACTTACGATTAGGATAGATAGATATTTCCGGATATAGCCCCTTTTCTAGACTGTATTCGGCTAAAGTTGTCTAAACAGTGAAGCTCTCAAGGATGTGGTCTTTCCGGCACAAGTGGTTAACGGGGACCCCCAGTTTCAGGTCCTGACTAACAGGTCCAAAACTGAAATTAGGGTTTGGGAGTCAAGTTTTATATTTCTTTTTGTTTTTTTTTTTGCCTGTTTTTGTTTTGGTTCAAGGTGTTTATGTACCAAATTTGGTCTTATTTGGAGCATTGGAATTTCCTCTGCTAAGATTTCTGAAATTTATCAAGATTTCTGAAACTGAATGTTGGTGAAATTTGCATGAAAGTGCACTTTTGCCTTGTTGTTTTATAGGTTTGTTTGTTTTTTTTTTTTTTTTTTTTTTTTGCAGTTAATCACTATGGTCTCTACTGTATGACTTGGTGGCAAGTTTGGTTAAAATGACCCTTGGTTATATGCGAGACAAGTGAAGTTCTGATATTGGATGTGGTTTCTGATGGATGGATGTTAGCAAAAGGAGCGCTCGAGTAACAGTGCCCAATTTGCACGAGCAAGAGAAGAGAGTGCTGTATGCCCCAACTTTTACAAGCTGAGGCCAGCTGAAGCTACACCGCGGCACATAAGTAAGGGAACGGGTACAAAGACGTCCGAGGGGGCCTCTTTAACCATTTTTTTCCTGGGTTTGGGTTCCCGGCCTGTTTATCTCACAAAGGGAATGAGAAAGAAAAAATGAAATCACTTCCCAGTGTCCCGCCTAGTAGAATCCCGTTGATATCGCCAAAAGGCAACTCCTCTGGAGTTTGGTGTGGTTCAGGATCTGTTCTCACCGGTTCTCTCCCAGAACCATCCACCGTCAGTGGAGACCTGGTTCTTCGTTTGAGGGATTATTAACAAGGATTAGGGAGAATAGATTGGAGCAGCGAATGTGCCGTTGATTTGTTTTGTTTTCTTTTGGAAAAAAAAAATTGGACCATTTTTTTGATTTGTGCGTGTCATCCTTGACCAGGGGCCATGCTAACCTCTTCTCTCTGTATCGTTCCAATTTTAAACGGATGTCCATATTGTTATTATTGATATTATTATATTATTATTATTATACTCTTAAAGACAAATTTGAAGGAGAGTTTGATCGCTAAAGAGTAGTGAAGAAGAGAATTGAAGAAAACAAGGAAAACATAGAACGATGCACCCAAGTCCGTCAACGTAGAGAAGTGGGGAAGACAAGCCTGGTAAATAGAGAACGATGCAGCCAAGGTATGGTGTGTATACCTTGCTCTGCTTGTAGCATGCCTGTAGCTACCCTGGCCTAGAGCCAGGGCGATTTGGCTATTTTACCTGTTCGGCCTGTGGGACCAGGCTGTGGCCTGAACCCACAGGCCGTGTGCTCATTCAGTCCAGTCCAGTCCTGCCCGGTACCACTGTCGGTACCAGGCCAGTCCAGTCCGGTCCAGTCCAGTCAGTCCGCTGGGGGTATACCCCAGCTGCAGTCTATTTCAGCCTCATTCTTCACTTGCACAGTTTGGAGTACGTGCGTGTTGAGTCTGCGTTGGAGCTGCGCTGTCCCTTCCAGCTCCATCTCCATCCCCCCCATCCTCATCCCTTCGTCTTGATCTTGACGGACCGCCATCCCAGCAGGTCCGTCACACTGCTGCTTTCCAAAGGGCATTATTTTCGTCTTGTTATTGTTCACTTGAACAAGACGAAATCACAATGCATTATTTCAAAATTTCGAATTTGTTTGCGCCTTCGTGATTACTTGGACCGTTTGTGATTTGATCTTGTTCGTAGGGCATCATAATGCACTGAGTCTCTTGATAAGTTGAACAAGACGAAAATGAAAAGAATGCGGGTTAAATGACCTTCATTCGTTTTTAATACTCTTTATCAGTGGAACAAGTGAACAAGAATTTGTCTTGTTCAATTGATAAAAATGAAAGGAAACAAGGCGAAGGGATAGAAAAGACCTTAAAAAAAAAATAAAAAATAAAAAAAATCTTAGTTTTAAGTTTTAACTTTTAAGAACTTTTAACAAGTTCTTGGTTCTTTGAGTAGTCTCAGTGGCTCTTCTGAAAATGCTCTGCTGCTTACCAAGGTTGTTGTCACTGTTATGTTATTGTGTTGAACTAATCAAGAAGAAATAAAAGTTATAAAAAGTTAAAAACCTATAAAAAAAAGTTTGAAGGACCCTTCAACAGAGAAAAGAGCAAAAAAAAAGGAGAGGAAGGAGTAGGAAAAACACAAGAAAGAAAGCATTAAGGGGGGGAAAAAAAAAATATTGGCTTTTTACTAAGTTTTAATAAGTTTAAACTTTAAAATTTATAATCTATCAAGAGAAACCCGGACAAGTGACAAGAAATCATTTACAAATTTATAAAGGACTTGCCGGGGAGCGGGAAGGTCAGTTCCCTGGAAGGAGACACGATTAAGCTCGAAGTGGAGGTCCGACAAGAGGGGTAGAATAACGGAAATCAAAGCCCAATTTGGGAGACCCAATCAGTGCGCAGCTGCCGAAGACGTGGACGTATCAGCCTGGAGTATTGCACAATTTCCACACGCATGCATAGCAAAACATGTTGGTAACATGCACAAATCCAAAAGCATCATTCCATAGCTTTTCATGAGAAAGGAGGAAAGAAAAGAAAAGAAAGAAAGGAAAAAAAAGAAAAATAGGAGCAGCACGTGCTGGGAAGCCGGCCCAGCGCCGCTTATAATGAGATAATAATCATGAGCATTGATAATAAATTAATAATTGAGGATGATTGACGACGAAGCCTGGCCTCAGGTTTAAGGAGGAAAAGCGAAGACTTTGGGGTGGGGGAGGACAGGCTGTTTTGCCACTGTCTAAAGTTTTGCTCTGTTCTTGGGAAAAGAGTCTCTGGTTAAGGGAGGAACAAGGAAGACTGTTTGG